GATTTGCCACCAGAGCCGTGTGTGGCCCAGACCTGTCCCGGGCAGAGCACAACCCCCGCCCCAAGCCCGGGCCGCGCTCGGGAGAGGTGAGCTCCTCTCACCTGCCTCCTGTCACCATCGCTCCAGCGCCGCCAGGCCAGGGCTCATCCCTCGGCTGAGGCCTCAGGGCACCCAGGGTCCCTCTGGCATGGTGGGTGGCAGTCCCTGCCCCGGCCAGACCTGCTCGGCTGTTCCTGCTCTAGGGCTGCGTGGTTGGTGCCGCTCTGGGGCTGTGACGGGGGAGAGGTGCCGCTGCTTCCTGTGACGTGCACACTCTAGAATGGGGTTTCTCCTTTTCGTTCAGTCACAGGTCGCTCAGCTGAGCCCCTTGGGGCACTTGCTGTGGGCACAGGGCCCAGGAAAATCCCTGTGGGCGTTGTGTGGGGTTTGAGGGTCGCATGGGCAGCACACGAGAGCGGAGCCGCTGCCAGGGCTGGAGGTTGGGTGCCATTCCCAGGGTGTTCTCAGGTCTGTGAGGTGGGGGTTGTGTTCTAGGGTGTCTCCTCAGCGGCAGCAGCACCAGGCTCAGGGGCTGCCTGCAGTGGGTGTGCAGAGCTGGGTGTGCTGGGCAGGGATGGGTAGGTGGGAGGATCACTGCCCTGCACGGGTACCTGCCTGGCACAGCAGTGCTCTGCCTGCACTGCCTCACTCCTGGGGCACAGCAGTGCTCTGCCTGCCCTGCCTCACTCCTGGCACTGCCCAGCCCCTCCATCCTGCCCTGCGCTGGTTATGCATGAGAGCAGCCACAGCTCTGCCCCATCCCCACCCTCAGCCCCAGCCAGCCCCAATCTCCTCCCCGGTCACAGAAGCTGCTGCTGGTGTGGAACAATTCATTGCCCAAAGTGTGTACATATCATTCCCCTTTCCAAGCAAAGGGCTTGGCTCAGTCAGCACCAGCCCCGCACGCTCCCCTGCCCCCGAAGTCAGGATCCTGTGATGCACACTCCACTCCCCCAGTCCCACGCTGAGGAAGGTCCTTGGGATTTTGTCATGGCCCAGGTGTCAGCACTGTGTGCCCCATCCCCCTGCCGTGTCCCGCTGTGGGGACAGCCACGCCGCAGCCTCCTGCCCCAGCCCTGCTGCAGCTGCACCTCCTGCTGCTGCCTGTGATGAAACTTGAAGGTTTCGGGTCACTTCTAACCACCTTGACAGTATGAACTGTGCTTGGGTTC